TCTCTTCGTAGTCGGCGATACGTTGATTGTCGCGCCGTGCCCAGTTACCACGCCACCAGCTGCGCCATGCGTGTTGGCGGGCTGCTCGGCGGTAGGCGCGGGCGTTGAGACGTTCTTCTCGGGCTGCGGCACGCTCGGTCCTTGTTCGCAGGCTGCTGCACTTGTGGCGGATGACGGCGACTAGGCAGCCGCAGCAGAGAACACCCAGTGTGATCTCGAGGGCGAGAAGGTAGGGTGATGGCTTAGGTGGACGAGGTGGCAGTTCGTTCTATTTGGGGTCAGCATCAGAGTCTCTGCTTCAACTGGTGGGGTGTTGAATGGAGGCACATACTGCTTGAGCCTCGTATACCTGGGGTGTTGAAGTAACGGCTTTCAGGTGACTTCCAGAGATCTGTGCCACCTGTGCAGCATGACCGTGTGCCTGCGCGAACACTTGCTCGGGGCTGTTCATCTCTTCCAATCGTTGATCGGGTTTGAAATGGAAGGATACGATTTCCCAAGCACACTTTGCTTCATGGGCGATAGTCTGTACGATGCACGAGACGCCGTCACATTCACCCAATTGATGCGATAGTTCCTTCGCTTCTTGCCTTAGAACTGAATGAATCTGCTTCTTCTTCTCGGCGATAAGGGATTCGAGCTCTTTGAGTTCCCTCTGAAGAACTTTCAACTCGCGGATGTCGTCCTTAAGAGACGGGATTCTGCCTTTTGCTTTTGAAGTTTCGGTGACGTTGTGGAAGGCCAGACGCAATAACCGAGGAGGTTTGCGCCAGGATTCAGCTACGTCTTTGTTGCTGGCCGAGGGGTTGGGGACAGACTCAAGTCTGAGTAGAGAAGGCGGTGATGTCTGCGGTTTGAACGAGATCGTAAATCCGGCAGGTTTGGTGACTTGCTTGCCGTCGATGGCCTTGATGTTGACCGTTACTACTTGGGCTGCTTCTTCCGTTTCCAAGTTATCACGAAGACAGGCTGTCTGCCATTCGAGATCCAAGTCGTGCTGCAGAAACCATTCATTCTGTGTGAGGTCGGTAACGCCTTGGTAGGAACCGGAACCAGATGCGAAGTCGCCGTTCCACTCTTGGGGAAGATGAAGTCCGTTCAGGGTAATGTTGGAAGAGCCACAAGCTTGATCCTGGGCATGACTGGTGAAGCTCAAGGTCTAAGGATGGTGAGCAGGTGGCATGGTATTTAGGTGCCTGAGGGTGGGCCTTACCAAAGACTCGTTATCCTGGTCCGTGTGATCGCGGCCAAGACAGCCAGTGCAGGGGACACTGAAGGTAGCTTGCGCGTAGTTCTGTTGAAGGTCTAGCAATGTTTAGCAGCTGCCTGCAGAAGGCGAATGTGGAATGGTATAAGAGGGGCGCGGACCTAGCTGCAAAAGATTTCCGTCGGCGCGAGCAGCGTGACGCTCGTGTTGAGGTATGACGCCGGCGAGTACAGGTGCCGCCCAGGCGCAGGCTGACAGCACTTTGGACTTGAAGGAACGCATATTGAAAGCAAAAAAGCACACGAGTCGAACAGCAGAGCGAGTGTGCAAACAGCGCACACGAACACCGACCCGCAAAGAGAGCGAGGTTTGGCGGGTTATGGGATAGATGTTCCCAGAGGTTCGATCAGGCACCAGTCGAAGGGCGTTTCGGTGTAGAGCTGCTAGTGGCTGCCGTCAGCGTGAGCGTGGCTTAGACGTCGGCTCACGATTCAGCTGGCAGCACTATGCATAATGCAGTGTGATGAAACACTGGGATACGGGAGGATGCGAATGTGTGTACTTTGGTAAATGTATGTAAAGGATGCGATGAAATCCATGATCTGAGAGGCCATGTGGCAGCATCATTGGTGCGGTTCTCGTCCATGGCGCACCCGCTGACTTGCGCCCATGCCAATTTCTTGCCTTACGAATTCGCTCTATGAGTGTATTACATGTATCTGGTATCATGATAATCAAAGCAGTTGAAGAACATGCATAGTCTACGCACAGCTGCCACACGTGCACGTGCACGTGCACGTGCAGGTTAGAGGTCTCGGTGAGTAGAGGGTGCAAACCCATTCGGACCGGCCATCTGTTATTGGTGGCCTCGGAAGTAAGTCGACTACATTGGTCGTGTTTAGAGGAGTGGATATACGGAGTAGAGGGATGGTGTTCGGTCGCATCTCGTAGGGCTGGCTCGCCAAGGCACTGTGGTCCGAGCTCTCGCGGCCTGCGATGCAATGAGGGAGATCATCACTAACCCGACTACGTATCCCGCCCTCGATCTCACCCAGTCCTAGGAACCTCTCCAACTGCGTCGCGACATTCTCGTCAGAATCCACAATACTTGATACGTAGGACCCAGCCTATCTGCGAGCCACCCCGGTCGCCAATATGGTACGTCACCTCATTCACCAGCAGCTCACGCCTTTTTACTGACTCTCGACACAGCTGCCATTGGGCCTTCTGACGGCCGCGACTGGCCACCCTATGCTCGTCGAACTGAAGAGCGGCGAAACCCTAAACGGACTGCTCGTCAACTGCGACACGTGGATGAACCTTACCCTGAAAGAGGTTGTGCAAACGAGCGCCGACGGTGACAAGTTCATGAGATTACCAGAGATTTACGTTCGCGGAAGCACAGTAGGCGATCATCTCGTCCCTCTCGATGCACTCTACTGACCAATTTCCAGATAAAGTACCTTCGAGTGCCGGACGAGATCGTCGACGTTGTAAAGGAACAGCAAGCCAAGGACCAAGCGAACCGCGGCGGCCGAGGAGGAGGCATGCATGGACGAGGAGACCACCGGGGCGATCGTGGTGGAGGCAGAGGAATGAGGGGCCGAGGACGCGGTCGCGGAAGAGGAGGAGGCGGCGGTGGTGCTTGAGAGGCGGACATATACCCAAATGCAACGGCAGTCAGCGCGCGCGTCGCTTGTAAAAATCATGGCGGATTCATGTGCGGTCGTTGACTATGAAGCAACAATACAGGGAGCGAAAGAGCACTACTGCGGACTGTCAAGTTGGACAGGCTTCTTTGAAGGCTGCATTGGAGCATGACCTACCCAAGTGTCGACCTTCGCAAGAGCAGCGCAACCCTCCCGGTCTGGTCGTACGTTCAATCTGAGCATCTGAGGCTCCTCTGTGAGGTGAGCACAACAGAACGTCCGCTGTTTGGGGCACAGTTCCAAAGTTAGCTGCCTGACACGAATAGGCGCCAGCAAATTAGCCAAAAGGAACCCTGGTCACAATGGGGACATAACTGTTGGTGTTATTTCTGTGCCTCCCAGTGACACAAGTTACCTAGGTACCGCACACCTTGGTGATTAGCGTAGTCGTACGTTGATGCGGGGTCTGCCGTGGTCCCGAGCTACTATGCGGCGTAGGCGTCTGCTTTGGCGACTCTCCATCTGCGCTAATTATAGTACATGTGCCCCTTCCTATATGCCTCCTCTCAAGTCCCTCAAGGAGCTGTTCTGCTCTTTCCCATTCACCCAGTCCTGCATCTGCCAAGACATTGTTTGTTAACCTGTATTCAAGTCGCCCTTTCCAATCTCAGTACTTTGACATTTCATCACAAACACACTGTCCCACTCAACACAATGACGAGCTTCACTATCTCGGATGGCCAACTTGATGGATTGAAGGATCAGGTAGCTGTTATCACTGGTAGGATAACATGACCGGATATCCTTTACCGACTACTTATGCGCACCAGGAGCATCATCGGGTATAGGACTTGCGACACTCCGAAGGATCATCAAGCACGGCGGCAAGGTCTTTGCTAGCGACCTCACTCCCCTTCCCGAGCCCGAAGCATCATCCGTCCCCTTCTTGAAAGCCGACGTCACGTCCTGGAAAGAGCAACTCGACATCTTCAAAGCAGCAGAACAGAAGTACGGGAAGATCGACCATGCCTTTGCAAACGCAGGGATAGGAAAATCGACAAGCTTTCTGGAAGAAGATGTGGACGAGAATGGCGACTTGTTACCGCCGAAGATGAACACAATCAACGTCAACTTAGTCGGTGTAATGTACACCGTGAAGCTGGCCATACACTACCTTAAAAAGAACCCCAACGGTGGCAGCATCGTCATGACAGCATCGGGTTCAAGCTTCGCGCGGCTCCCGGCTGAAGACTACAGTACGTCTCGTCAACCCATATCAAGATTGAGTGCTGACACATCCCAAAGCCACAGCCAAACACGGCGTTCTCGGTCTTCTACGCGCTCTTCAGCCCCAACTTCACCCCAGACTCCCCATCCGCATCAACGCCGTCGCCCCATCCTGGACCGACACAGCAATTGTGCCCCGTGCCATGATCGCTGCGCTAGGCGATAGCAACGTGCAGTCGGCCGATGTTGTTGCTCGTTCTGTGGGTGTGTTGATGGCAGATAAGGAGCGTCATGGAGAGCTAGTGTACAGCGCGCTGGGCAAATTTGTGGAAATGGAATATGGAGAAGCGGGGTTCCATGCTCTCACGAAGCCCATGATGGAGCTTGCGGAGGGCGGAGAGAAGAAGGAAGTCCTGGCTGCTGAGAAGAGGGTTGATGAGGTGCTCGAGGAGATGGCGGTGGAGAACCATGGTATTTCGGTCGTTACTGAGTAGGCATTGTGGCGCTTTTGACCTCAGAATAGCCATGCATGTTTGAAGTCTCAAAATGAAGATCGTCGTTTCTTTACTCTTTGCTTTCATGCGCTTGGGCTAATGTTCGACACAGCATTCTTCTCCAGGCCTGATCACATTTAACAGCCTGGCAATCCACCGTCATCAGATAGGCAATCTCAAAGTACCCGACTCTTTCTAGGATTATTAATTAAAGTTCAAGAACAGAATGAAAACGAGACAGTATTTGCGACCAGCACGATGCCTTTGTCTAGGACGTTCCTCCCACCTGGGCATGTCGAGATGAAACAGGCGCGCTAGCGTGGCTTAGCTCCAAATGCCTCACGCAACCCTTAGGCAGCCGCATCTACTCCCCAACACGCTCAAACACCCAACAAACTATCGCAAAGACCTCCAGAAGCCGTAATGTCACCCAGCGGTCAGAATGGCCGCTCTATCGACACGTCTGACACCGATGCAATGTGGTCTAACCTTCGCATGGCCCATGCAGAGCTGGTAAGCACACAAAGATGCAGACGTTGGATTGTGTAGTCGCTAAACCCGTATGCTTCTTGTGTAGAAAACTCGTTCAGATGATTTGCAGAAGATCAATCAAGAGATGAAAGAGCTGAAGAAAAAGCAAGACGCCATCAAGAGAGAAGTGCAGGACTTGGAAAGGTACGATGAGGTTGTTCCTAATCCCAGGATCCTTGCGCGAAACTACCACCCGGAACTAGTAGTAACACCACTAGGGAAATGGATACTACCTCGGCACACATCATCCTGAAAGAAGCGCCAGCCCTCATAGAGCCTTTCCTCACTCGGCTGCCTCGAGAGATACGGGACCTTGTCTATGAGTATGTCTGCGTCCATCCAGACACCATACAGGTCGCTCTCCCCGGACAGCCTGGAGCTCGGGCAGACCCCTCAGTTGTTGGATCGGATGGCCAACTAATGGATGTGTCCTATCTCTCAAAGTGGGAGGTCGTACCTAGCGAGCTGTCCGAGACATATTGGTCGAAGAATCGTTTCGTAATCACAGTCGGTTTGTGTACTAACATGCGATTTGACTCTTTGGACACTTTCCTGTTGCACGGAACAGTGCCTAGTGGAAAACCGTTTTGGAGGGTGTATGTACGCCCGTGGCAGAAAATTCGTCATCTGAAGATAGAACTGGCATGCGAACATTGGGAATCCGACGTGCGCTACGGACAAGACAAGATGATTGACTACTACAAACCAGCATACGGTCTCGATGACGACTCCACATTCGCGCAGGCTACCGTGTGGAAACAAGAGGCTCAGGTTTATCCTCTCACTCGACTGAAAGGTCGAGAAGAGCTTCACATCGAGATCGAGATACATACCACGTTCGCCAAGCACGGCCCTGATGTGCAAGAATCCGAGCGTCACTTCGTCAATATCATGGAGAGCATTCGGCAAACTGTGTGCGATCTGATAGACTCTGGCGTCCGTGTCACGGTCATGTTGAGCAATCTCGACTATAGCGAAGTGGCTCGGGGGCCTCAAACGTGGGACATTACATCTCGCTTTGTCCTAGACGCAGAAGAGTGGCGCAGTGTACGTACATACTCGACCGTGATAAGGATCAAGGCTGACTTGTAGAAGGAAAAGGATCAAATTGAAGCGCGAGCCAGGGAGACTGGCTACTTCGGGCATCCGCATGCTGCAATGTACCATTGTGTTCATGTAGTAGCTACTGCTGACGTGGAAGGTTTCCGTGAGCTACTGTTGCGTCGTTGGAAGGTGCGATATGCTCTACCCTGGATGGAAGAAGAATCAGAAGTGCAATAGGGGCAGAACGGTCAGATTGAAGATGAACAGAGAGTTTGAGCAATGCCAGTAGTGCGTTGCATGTCCAGTCAGAGTTACGATGTAACATTATCGGTGCGCTGGCAGCGGCGGTGACTTTGATACAGAAGCGTGTCGAGTGAAAGTTAAAACCTCGAGTATACACCGCTTACTTCAAGGACCGCTATATGTATGATATCTACCAGGATCGGCAGCGTTTAACGTATTTGCGTCCAATTACGAGCAGTCATTTCCACCACATGGTACCCTGGTACGCTATCTCTCCGAAAATCGAGATTATGCGATAAGCTTCACATCACCCCAAGACTCTACAAGCACTTGTAGACCGGTGAGAAGGTCGAAAACTTTGGTCATCGCATTCTTCAAAGTGCATAGCATCTGTTCCCATGAGGCTTGTTCTGAGAGAAGTTGAACGTACCAATGAAATGGAGGACGCTCTTCCACAAGCGTTCCAAAGCTTAGTAAGGGCCGTGCAGTGCAATTCGTTGACTCGTTTTACGTTTGCGCAAAACCCACACGTCCCCTTACTCACTCTCCCGTCGATTTCGGATATGCAATGGCCCGTCAGCCTATCAGCCGCTTGACACATGGTAATGTTTGATCGGTCCCAGTCCCAAGAGTCGTGGCAGGAGTCGTGGCGTAGCGGGGTACCCGGGAAGAGATCTCGCCATGACGATGCAAGCAAGTGAGCCCTACGCCCTATCTACAACCGAAAAACGGCCATATACCGACGCTGACACCCGACGGCACATGAAAGGATTGCGACGGCTGTTTGCCTTCAGATAGATGGGTCGGCGATCATCGTGGAGTCCGGGGAAGAGCCGTCTCCACGCCGAAAGGCTCCGCTGGCGACCGTGCCCCAGGCGCTTCACCACTTCGAGAGCTAGTAATGACAGCCATCTACCTTGGCACGCGCGCGCTCCATCAAAAACGGCGCTGACAAGGACACCGGCCAGACCCAGCTGCGATCCGGCGTGAAGGAGGACCTTCCGGGGGGTGTGGAGTACAAATAAAGCAGAGGTGCGGCTGCGACGTTACGACTTGCCGTTGTTAAGAAATAGGCCGTTCCCTCCTTCTTTCTCTCTGTACCTGAACGCGCTCAGGACGCCGCTTCACCATGGCCCAAGCCCAGACGGATTACGCGGCTGAAAAAGACACGCCGAGCAGCCAACATGAAGACTTCAAGCCAGAGGACGCGCACCAGATTGCGGGACACGGCCATACTGCTACCGACATGCGAGTCTAGCCACTCTCTTCGATCTTCTCTGCTGACAATGTCGACAGCTACGGCCATGCTTTAATGCAATTTGATAAAAAGGCAGAGTCACGTCTCCGCCTGAAGATCGACTTGTACATTATCCCGACCGTGGCCCTTCTCTATCTGTTCTGCTTCATCGACCGTGCCAACATCGGAAACGCTCGTCTAGCGGGCCTCGAAAAGGACCTTGGACTCAGTGGTTACGACTACAACACCGTTCTCTCCGTGTTCTACGTCAGCTACATTGTCTTCGAGATCCCGTCCAATATCTGCTGTAAATGGCTCGGTCCGGGATGGTTCATCCCTATCATCTCACTATGCTTCGGTATCGTATCGATTGGCACGGCTTTTGTTCACAATATTCATGCCATTTGTGGCGTACGCTTTCTGCTGGGTATCTTTGAAGCTGGTATGCTACCAGGAATTGCATACTACATGTCTCGATGGTATAGACGCTCTGAGCTCGCGTTCAGACTGTCGCTATACATTGTCATGTCTCCCCTAGCTGGCGCTTTCGGAGGTTTGTTGGCTTCAGCGATTCTCACGCTCGATTCCTTCGGCTCGCTCACACGCTGGAGGATGATCTTCGCTATAGAGGGCATTGTCACATGCTGCTTGGCCCTTATCTCCTTCATGACGCTCACAGATCGTCCGGAGACTGCGCGCTGGTTGACTCAAGAAGAGAAAGATTTGGCGATTGCTCGTGTCAAGGTATGTCATCATCTACTCTGGAAGATCCATAGCACAGTGAAGTGTGGATTCGGCTAGACAACCTGGTATGTATATTACAGCTGCTGACTTTTGATCCAGTCCGAACGTGTCGGCCAGAACGAGGTCCTGGATAAGCTGGACAGGAAGAAAACGCTCCGCGGTATCTTCAATCCTGTGGTACTGGGGACTTCATTCATCTTCCTTCTTGACAACATCACGGTGCAGGGTCTGGCTTTCTTCGCACCCACGATTGTCAAGACGATATACCCAAACGATACAGTTGTTTCGCAGCAACTTCACACCGTGCCACCATACATCGTAGGCGCCTTCTTTACACTTCTCCTACCATTCCTGAGCTGGAGATTCGACAGGCGCATGATTTTCTTCATCCTGGGAGCACCACTCATGATGATCGGATACATCATGTTCTTAGCCAGTACAGATGGGCAAGTTCGATATGGTGCTACCTTCCTCATCGCATCGGGAGCATTTTCGTTCGGCGCGCTGTGCAACGCGCAGGGCTCCGCCAACGTTGTGTCCGACACGGCGCGTGCATCCGCTATCGGTAAGTACCAGAATTTGTACGTCATAATCAAAGCAAAGTCTGACTGAATGTTAGGTACTGTTGTCATGTTCGGCAACGTAGGCGGCCTGATCTCGACATGGAGTTTCCTCCCTACAGATGCGCCTAATTATCCCATCGGTAATGGGCTCAACCTGGCGACCAGCAGTACGATCTTGATATCGAGTATTCTCTTGTTGCTCTGGATCAACAGGAGCAACAAGCAGCGTGATGCCATTGATGTTGACCAGGAACTGGCTGGCAAGTCGCAGGGTGAGATTGAGGATCTGGATTGGCGGCATCCGTCGTTCAGGTGGAGGCCCTAAGGGAGCCTGCATTATTAATGTATTATACGAAACAAATGCCCATCATCACCCTTGCATGAAGAAATACCAACTGCAGTACAAGATGTTCCTGATGAATCCCAATGTGTGTTGCATGGCAAAGACCGAGTAATCCCCGTCATCCGGATTCCCCGCATCGATCGATAAGCATACCCACCGCCCCGAACGCGACCTCGGTCCAGCGACTCTTTCGTCATGCATCCGAGCACGACAACCATGATGAGCTATTCGGGTCATCGCTCCGCGCATCGAAGCTGCGCATATCTAATCACACATCCTCCCTAGCCTGTTCACCCGACATTGAACTGCTACGCGTCATCACATCACGTCTCAATCGCCATCAGCAACAATGCCTTCCGCCATCGTGATCAGGCAAGTCGAAGGCAAGCCAGGAAAGGTCTACTACCCACTCGAGAAGATAACTGTCCCGGAGCCCAAGCCGAAAGAAAATGAAGTAAGCTCCCTCTACCAAGACCTGCCACCCGCTCACAATCTAATCCCCATCACCCAGGCCCTCATAACCCTCACCGCCGCCGCGCTCAACCACCGCGACCTCTTCATCCGCCAACACCTCTACCCCGGCACAACCTTCGGCGTGCCCCTCCTCGCAGACGGCGTCGGCATCGTCACTTCCGCCGGCGCATCCCCCTCGGCACAATCATGGCTCAACAAGCGCGTCTTGCTGAACCCGGGTACGGGCTGGAAGGACAGCATGGACGGCCCCGAACACCCCAAGGGGTATGCGATAATGGGCGGCACGAAGAGCAATCCCGCAGGCACACTGCAAGATGTCTGCGCGCTCGACGCCGGTGAACTGGAGGAATGCCCCGACCATCTCAACGACGAGGAGGCTGCTGCGTTGCCTCTTACCGGTTTGACGGCGTGGCGCGCGTTCTGGGTTAAGAGTGGGAATGCGATGCCAGGACGGAATATCCTCGTTACGGGTATTGGGGGCGGTGTCGCGCTTATGGTGTTGCTGTTCGCTGTGGCACAAGGTTGCAATGTCTACGTGACGAGCGGGAACCAGGAGAAGATTGACAAGGCGGTCAAGTTGGGTGCGAAGGGAGGCGTTATCTATAAGGAGAAGGATTGGGATAAGAAACTTCAGGCCATGCTGCCCAAGGAGAGGAAGTATCTCGATGCTATCGTTGATGGCGCGGGCGGTGATGTTGTTAAAGTGGGGAGTAAGATACTCAAGGTTCGTTTTTCCCTCCCTCTCTCCCTTCTTGCAACAACAAGCTAATTTATCGATATAGGCCGGCGGCGTCATCTCCATATACGGCATGACCGTGTCTCCCAAAATGGACTTCCTCATGTCCGCCGTGCTGCGCAACATCGAAGTCCGTGGCTCCACCATGGGTTCGAGGAAGGAGTTTGCTGATATGGTGCGCTTTGTCAAGGAGAAGAAGATGAAGCCTGTGGTCAGTCGCAGTGTGCATGGTTTGGATGTGGAGAAGATTGATACCCTGTTTGAGGATATGAAGAGTGCGAGTCAGTTTGGCAAGTTGGTTGTTACGCTGGGCCAGGGTAAGGCGAGTAAGTTGTAACGTTTATCGGTTACCTCGATGCGTCTCTCTTCAGATACCTAAGTCTTTGTCCGAGAATGCCACACTTTACAGCTCAGTAAAGCTACCATGAGGATTATGCTGGCGCCCGACGAGCGCATATGGACCGCCCGTGTTTCTTTGTCCGGGGCCTGTATGAAACTAACGGAGTGAGCGGAGTGAGTGAGAGGAGGGTCGGACATGCACTCCCTCCGGCAATACATCGGAGATAGAGGTTGGGTTACACAGATAAGCATGACTACATAGCATCGCTTTTGAGCCCCCCAAAAGCTTCTTCTTGCATCATCCACATTCACTCCTCTTCTGCAACAGTTACGTCATAGTCAAGCAAGGACATCACGACCATGTCTACACGAGACTCGGATAAGGACAAACCGTACATACCCCATAACAGTCTAAAGCAGGATGGCTACTCCAAAGAAGGCGAGGCGACAGCTACATGCTATTGCGGAGCTGTACAACTAGCATTTGTAAGTTTGTGGGCCAGTGGCACCATGGTCTTCCTATACCACAAAGTTCTAATGCTCAACGCAGCCAACCACCGCCCCGGGCCTTGTAGACACCTTCGTCTGCCACTGCACCGATTGCCGAAAGATCACAGCGTCAGCTTTTACCTCAGCCTTCATTGTCGCGGCTTCAGCTGTCAAGCACATTCGCGGCCAAGACAATCTGAAGAAGTTCTCACAGTCCCAGACGACTGCTTCTGGCCAGGCGATGACGAACTGTTTCTGCGATACATGTGGAACGCTCATGTACCGACTGACTGAGCGGCATCCCGAATTTATTTTAATGAGGCTTGGTATGTGATGTTCTCCGGTCAAGCGAAATGTGTACTAAATGCAGCAGGCACCGTCGACGATCTGAATCTGATGGAGGGCTTACTGAGACCCAAGCGAGAGGTCTACGTCAAGGACAGGGTGAGTTGGGTCCATGGAGTGGAAGGAGCGAGGCAGAGTGAGATCATGGAGTAGCTATTGAAAACCAAGAACAGGGAAAATGAACAATTACCATGGCTGCAACATGGGGAAAGTTCTCTTTACAGTACTGTCTCAGACACAAGGTTCATTGGTGTCCTAGCTTGATGTCGCACCTGCTCAACAAAAATGAGGGTGAACAGTAAAGCTTATGCAGTTCCCATGAACACGACCCAACGGACATGCTTACCAAATCACCGATATCCTCCAAATCGCATGCAACCGATCCCTGCATATCGTCAGGAACCACCAATCGGCCACTAACACCGCAGATCAGGCCTCAAGCGTGAAGCCGTCCCAACGGAAGTTACGCGACGCGTGCCATAATTGTTTTTCTGGCTTGGGAAGACCAAAACAAGTCCGTAGCAACGAACCCTCCCCTTTCGTCGTTTGTTTCGATCCATTCGATCCCAGAGCCGGGGGTCGTTGTTCTTGAATCCTTACCTTGTGGGCCTGGAAGTGTAGGGAATGCGGAGTCGGGGTTAAAACGACGTTTTTCCATGTGTGTAATACATCGATGACGAAATGATATATTGGCTTACTGAGCAAACCATCGATAACAACAACCAACAACAATAGCCGGTATAGCCACTGAACGGACGGAAGGGAAAACTCGACCTGCATTATCTCTGATCTGTCAGCCAACTTAGCAGCTCCCGCGAAAGTTTTAGTGCTCACTATTACAAATCCTGGGGTACACAACATATCGCGAGGCAAGGAAGGGGAGAGGAACATAAAAAAGAGAAGGAAAGCCAGTCGCAACCATGAAGTTCATCAAGCAAATCGCCCAGCGCTTGAACCCCGACTTACACATCCCCGGCACCGACAACCCACCGCCAGCCGTGCTGCGCAAGTCAAAGAGTTCAACAACACTACTAGTAACAGAGAAACGAAAAGAACTCTCCACGCCGCCCTCGCACTCCTCGCTGCGCAAGAAAGCAAGTTCCATGTTCCTAGGCCGCGGGTCTAACATACAAGATTTCGCAAACTGGGGAGATACACCAATCCAAAGTAGTGGCACGCCTACCGAGGCAGCAGCATCAGCAACTAGTCTTCCCCCGCCTTTACCATCAACACCAGTACGCGCCCCAGGAAACGCCTACGCGCTATCCCCATCCCCGCTTTCGACACCGCGACCCTCGACGCAGAACTCCACAAGGACAACTCAGCCTTCCACGCAAACCTCAAGGCAAGCCTCGACCCGCACATCAACGCGAACATCAACCAGGACCACTCAAACGCCCACGCCTGTAGTACCAGCGACGCCCTCACTAAGAGATCCCGCACCAATAGCCTCATCCATGGCCATGTCCGTCAGCACATCCGATAAATCCCTGCCTTACTTCCCGCTCGCGGGGCAAGCCAAAGACGGGTTTTCCAACAGCGAAGAAGCGACTGCGACGTGTTTCTGCGGCGCGGTACAGCTCGCTTTTCCGGTCGAGGGCCCGGGATTGGTATCGACGTTTGTGTGTAATTGTGCGGATTGCAGGAAGATTACTGCGAGTATGTTTGCTAGTAATTTTACGGTTAGGGATTCGTAAGTCTTTTTTTCTTTCCTATTGAATGGTTCTGGGGTTGTGGGGGAGATGCGCAGGGCAGTGACTGACAAGAGATGTAATAGACACCTGCGCCACCTCCGTGGTCGTGCTAACTTATCGTCGTATGGTCAGGCCTCGACGATAGCTTCGGGCCATACTATGACGAACTACTTTTGCAAGACTTGTGGTACGCTCATGTATCGTGTTGGCGCTGCTTTCCCTGATTGTTCCATCTTGCGGCTTGGGACCGTGGATGATTTCAATCTCGTCGAGACGAAGTTGAAGCCGACGCGCGAGCTGTTTGTCAAGGATCGAGTGAGTTGGTTTGAAGGTGTGAAGGGGGATGAGGTCAAAAGTTTTCAGGCTATGTTGTGAACATGGTGTGGGCTTCCAAGGGCCTGGAGGAAGGAGTTTGGTAACAGGGGAGGATGTTGTACGGAGCGACGTGGCAAGTGAACATGTTGTTGGAGCTGGCGTACGGAGTTGGAGGGATAGGGGTAGGCTCAACTGGTAATGATTAGATAGGAGGGCTGGAGTGTAATATTATATGTGAGGTGGCGCGTTGAAGCCTCTTGAATATCTGCGCCAAGGTGACGTTGTGAGGCTTAGGATATGGTATATTGATGCATTGCATTCATGCGAAGAGACTGTCTCGAGAACACACCATGCTCCTTGACCTACAAGCATGACGCCACGCTGATGTTTGATAGTAATAAAGGAGAAAAGAAGGAGCTCACAGAGTCTGTCTGTCACTGCACATCACATGCCAAGGGTATCATTTACAGCCACTCATCCACATCATCCGCAACATCCATATCCGCATCCACACCCCCCATCTGCCGATCCTCATCTTCTTCAACCTTGATCTCCTGCTCTCCGATAGTAGCGGAAGAGTCATCACCATCATCGTCGTGAGGAGCTGTGGGTGCGTCATTCGTCGTCGTCACGGATTTGAGACCACCAAAGGCGTCGTTTGGAACCCATGCGAGATCGAGTTTGCCAACGTCGGGAATATTGAGGGATTGGTCGAGGAAAGTTTCTGCTTGGTAGCGCTCTTTGAAAGTTAAGATGAGGGTGTCGGCTTGCTCGGGGTGACGCTCAATATTTGTGCATTCGGGTATGTTCTGTATATATCGTTAGCAGAGATGATTGAATACACGGTCGAGTTTTATTCACAAGAAGGTGTTGCCGCAGAGACTCATCCCTCGGTGTATCTGGCTTGATCATCGTAACTGCCAGGCGCCTAGGCCGGTTGTCGAGCTTCTTATTCACTACACTTCGACCAGCATAACCACCTGCACGGCCCCTGTATGCGCCCCGGTAAGGTGCGAAGCCCCTACCCCGGGCGTATCCTCGACCTCGGTAAGCTGGATTGAAGGCGCCACGACCATGAGTCGCAGGTTCGCTAGGACCGTGTTGATCGAAAAGTTCCGCTGCTTCGGCTTGTAGCGTGGCAAGAGTCTGGGCGAAGTCGTCGTTCGGGTCGCCTGACAGTTCAGCAAGTTGTCGCTTGATCTCTTCTATCTCCTTGTTCTTTTCTTCCAGCTGTCTCTCGATATCTGCAGCTCTCGCGTCTGCTTCCGCAGCCTTGCGACGACGCTCCTCGAACGCTTTCTGAGCTTCTGCCTGCCTAATGGCGATCGCCTCTAGGTCGAGCTTCTCTTCTTCGTCTTCTTGCTTCTCTTGGGCCAGCTTTTCCTTTGTTTCTGGTGCGTACCAGTAGACCTTAACGAACCGGTTCTCAAAGACGGCCTTGGGACTATGATAAGCACGCCTAGCGGTCTGGCGATCAGCAAACTTGATCACTGCTAACTGCCTCCTAGAGTGTAGCTCGAGCTCATCGATATCGCCAAACTCTGAGAAGTAGCTCCGTATGCTGTCCTCGTTGAAATGCTCCGCTGGAATCTGTTCGACGACAAGGGTCCTATTCGACTTGTCACGCGAGTAGCCCGGTAAAGAGAACGATGCACGTGCCCTTCTACCCTTAGTTGCACGAGGCTGGCCACCGGACACTCCTTGCTTGTTGGATCCTCTAGATGGCTGTACAGCAAGGAAAGACTGCTCCGGATCGTACTCGGGGATTTCGTCGGGTGAAACTGCTACGGCGGCGTCGCTATGTTCGTGTGGACAAAGGGTACCCAGCGCGCAGAAACCCCTTTCATAATAATCAGCACACTTTGTCTTTGGCTGTCCTTGGTTCGAGCCACCGTCTTGCGCATTGGAGAAAGGAAGCTGAGGCATGCCCGGCAGATTCGCCCCGAAGGCTGCTGCCATGGCAAAGAAAGCCATGGGGTCTGAGGTATCGAATGGTAGAGGGCCTGGCGGAGGCGGCGGCACATTTGCGAAGTTCGGCATACCACCAAAACTCGCGAACCCGTTCTGTGCCCGTGCATCTCCAGTCCCGGTATTCCTACCGCCTCTGCGAGCTGTCTGCTTCGACGGCCTGTTGACTCCTGCGCCGCTGCGGGTATAATGTGGATCCTGGCCCTCTTGCGACTGACTGTTGTCCCTCTCCAACACCTTGCGCTTCCTCGACTGATTCGAACCATCCTGATATAAGCCCTGAGCTGTCGGTCGGCCGGGTAGGAGATGTGATGATGCTGAGTTACTCTTCGCAGCAGGACCTTTCGGGGCCCCGAATGGCACGTTCGACGGATGCGGTTCGTATTCGAAGTTCGTGCTGCCAACTATGGACTGTATGGGCGCGGATTGTGAGGCTTGCGACGATGCTTGTGGTTTCGCGTCATTCGCTTTCGGCTTCGGAAGATAGCTCTTAGCTTTGAGTGCTGCAATAACGTCTTTTGCAAAAGGCTCGGTGTCTTTGGGCCATTAGCGACGAATTGTGACGTAGTCTTCGCATGCGCTTACTCTCCGGGCCAAGGAAGTCTTGCAGTGACTCGATCAAGGTACGCTGCACGTTTGCATCCGTATCGTCGACGGTAACGAGAGCGGCTACATAGTCAGCGAGCACTCCGCCTTCCACACCGGAGCTGCAATGCAGGTCAGTATGCGCCTGCGCGACAGCTTTGGTGAGAGCAATGTGTAGCTCCGACTTACATGTTCTCCACGTTCGGCAGCAACCAACTCTTGAACACGGCATGATCTTTCTCCTCGAGTAACATGGCGAATCCTAGTAGCAAATTAAATTCATAACCAGGTTGCGCGATCGCGTTAATGTCGAGTTGCAGTCTGGTACTGCGCTGTGGTGTTTCTGGTGGGACTTGGATTGCGCCGAGCGTACATCTTTCGCGTTGCTACTAGCGCGACGGCAATGTCATAGCTCTCTTACCCGTGAGCACGTGATGCCGATGCCCCGCTACATTCACCATCTCGAACTCCTAGTTGATCTAACCAGCAGAAGGCGCACCTACCAGACCTGGAAATTGCGTGCATTCATTCACAACAACATCACCTTTACTAAAACATGTCACACGTGAAAGATGCTGAAATATTTGTGCG